AGCCAAACTCCGGCCCTCCAGCTGTGGTGGTACTACAAATCCCATGATGCATCTCTCTCTCTCTCCGGGAGTCATGTCTGTGGCTGTGAGAATCTTGCAATGCCTCATGGGATTTGTAGTTCCACCACAGCTAGAGGGCCGGAGTTTGGCTACCCCTGGTCTAGGAGGCTGAAAATAAAGCAGATGTGCTCGCCCGATCCTCCGTCCCATGGAGGTCAGAACGCGATTCGGGGGTATCCCTTCCTCCGGGGTGACGGGCGAGATCCTGGGACTTCTCCTTGCGCTCCGCGTGACAACGAAGACTCACCGCTGTTCAGCGCAGACCTGCAGTGCCAGGCGTCGTGCAGCCGGCTGCAGACTTCCCACAGGGACAGGGAGAAGTGCTTGGACGTCACCCAGGAAGGGCTGACCAGGGCCACCACGTTCATGGACAGCGCCAGGAACCCGCACAGGAGCACCATGAAAGTGAATTGCCTGGGGGGCATGGCGGGGGGCAGACTGCCAACGTCGGGGGGCATCGCGGACCCTCGCCCTTCCGCAAGCTCAACGACCCGAAAAGCCTGTTTTTGCTGGTTTCCGATGCGCTACACGCGCGCCTTGATCGCACTTCACCTCTCGGTGTCCGCGCTCCGTCAGCTTCAGCAACATGTAAACTTTGTGTGCGGGCTATATCCCGAGGGAGCACATGATGCTGACAACACCACCCCAAACCCGAGTCTGCGTCCTACAGCCTGGAACGGGTTTAAAGGGTACCTATGGTCAAAAATGTATTTCTCTCCCGCTTTTAATAACCAGATCCATCTAGAACAGGGGTAGGCAGACTCCAGCTGTGGTGATACTACAAATCCCAGCATGCAGCTGCCTCTGGGAGTCATGACTGTGGTCATAGATAGGGAGTTGCCCTCTGCCTGTGGTCATTAATATGGAGTTGCCCTCTGCCCGTGGTCATAGATAGGGAGTTGCCCTCTGCCTGTGGTCATAGATAGGGAGTTGCCCTCTGCCTGTGGTCATAGATAGGGAGTTGCCCTCTGCCTGTGGTCATAGATAGCGAGTTGCCCTCTGCCCGTGGTCATAGATAGGGAGTTGCCCTCTGCCCTTGGTCATAGATATGGAGTTGCCCTCTGCCCGTGGCCATAGATATGGAGTTGCCCTCTGCCCATTACTATGGAGTTGCCCTCTGCCCATTACTATGGAGTTGCCTTCTGCCCATTATTATGGAGTTGCCTTCTGCCCGTGGCCATAGATATGGAGCTGCCCTCTGCCCATAAATATGGAGTTGCCCTCTGCCCATGGTCATCAATATGGAGTTGCCCCATTTGTGGCTTCATAGACAGACATGTTTCATCTGGAAAGGCACTATGCTGGTCATTCAGCACACAGATTTTCCTGCAGGAGGCAACAAACAGCAGCGTCTATGGCCTGATTTTAGGGTATGTCTGCATCATGGAAATGGGAGGAGCTCAGTGAGGTTGGAGGATCGGGTATAAATGGCCTATAACCCCAGTATTATAAATGCATTACACATGGATATTCATACCCCCCTGTAGGAGGCATGTACAGGTGCACAAGGCAGGGTGACAACAGTGCTGCTAATTGCCAGGAAGTAACTTTGTGCTGTCAATTGGCTGCACAGGAAGTGGCTTTGTGCTGTCAGGCTGCACATGAAGTGGCTAAGTGATGTCAGGCTGCACAGGAAGTGGCTTTGTGCTGTCAGGCTGCACAGGAAGTGGCTTTGTGCTGTCAGGCTGCACAGGAAGTGGCTTTGTGCTGTCAGGCTGCACAGGAAGTGGCTTTGTGCTATCAGGCTGCACAGGAAGTAACTTGTCAGGTGGCGGAACAGTAAGTGGCTTTGTGTTGTCGGGCTGCACAGTAAGTGACTTTGTGTTGTGATGCTGCACCGGAAGTGGCTTTGTGTTGTCAGGGCACTGCACAGGAAGTTCTGTTATGGGTAGAATTTCCAGGCAAGAAACCTTACAAAATAAAAACAATGTAGTTGTTTTAAAAAAACGCCAAAAATACTGAAAAAAATAGCTTTTGAATTTCGATCAACTTCCATAAATGGATTAAATAGGAATCATTTGAATTAGCATACATTCCTACCCCCCCCAGCCATGAGGTGACACGTTCTTCTCCTCTCATACACCGCATGCTGGGAACACCATTCCCTATTTCTAGCCTCCTCCCCTCCAGAGGAAAGAAATCCACCTCCAAGATGGCGCCCGAGAGCGCTGAAACCTGACCCGGTCGGAAGGGGCGTGTCCAGGAGACGAGTCCTCCCACGTGCTATATCCGGTCCGTGCGCCTCGCTTCAGTCTCTTATACCGCGTGGAGTAGAGAGGAGGGAAGATGGCGGAGGGAGAAGGTGAGTGTGCTCGCCGCGTTTGAGCGGGTCCGGGTGATAGAAGCTCCTCGGCCGTCGCCTCACCTCTGACAATGTCCTCTGTCTTCTTCCGCAGGATCCAAGAAGAAGTCCAAGAAACGGCGGAGCCAGACTGCGGGAGAGATAGCTGTAAGTTCGGAGGGGGAGATGAGTGATTGTACGACTCTTTCATGGTGGAGGACTCTCTGTGCCACCCCTATATGTATATAAGAATATCGCTGCCGAGCAGTGGAGGTGTATATAATGGGGGGAAGAGGATACAAAGTAGCAGGAGGAACTTCTAAAAGTAACTTTTAAAAGGATCTGCGATCTCAATCGGCGCCCTGATTTTTATTTGGAGGATCAAGTGATTCGTTCCCCCCCCCCCCCCCCCCCTGCATTGGTCAGTTTTTGTCATTGGAGCCTGCAGAGCACTGCAACTGTGATCATTGCATTGTGGGTGCAGTGCCTAGGACCTTGCAGGCTATTACCCCCTCCTTGGGTCTATACAGATCCCCAGTTATGGGCTACCAATGTAGTGTAGTCACCTTTGTGCTGCATTGAGTGTTCCTCTGATGGGAGTTGTAGTCTCTCCATTCATGGATCTGTGAATGGATTTTGTGGCCGTGCGTGCTGACTGCATTAGCCTAAAGCAGAGGCGGGTAAACTCGTGCCCTCCAGCTGTTGTGGCACTACAAGTCCCATGAGGCATTGCAAGGTTCTCACAGGCATGACTTCCAGGGACAGATGCATCATGGGATTCGTAGTTTCACCCACAGCGGGAGGGGTGGAGTTTGCCCACCCCTGAGCTGCGCGGAGGAGAACCCTATGTTTCAGGTGACGGTGGCAGATTGAGGGCGGGGGTTGGGAATGTGTCTTACCCTAAATATGGCTGTAACATGAAACGTTACAATGCTGGACTTGAGCTGATCATACACTG